CAACAACAATTACTCTGTTGTAAACAAACATTTATGACACTTACACGTTTAGTTCAGCAGGATAATCTCCACATGTTAACACCACTTTATGATTTCTGAAGTGAAAAGATAATGTTGGGCTATAAAGGAATTACAGCACAGTCAAATGACTTCACGTCACCACCGCTAAGCTAAAGGTGGCTAATGTTGGGCTATAAAGGAACTACAGCACGGTCACATGACTTCACGTCACCACCACTAAGCTAAAGGTGGCTAATGTTGGGCTATAAAGGAACTACAGCACGGTCACATGACTTCACGTCACCACCGCTAAGCTAAAGGTGGCTAATGGTGTGCTATAAAGGAACTACAGCACGGTCACATGACTTCACGTCACCACCACTAAGCTAAAGGTGGCTAATGTTGGGCTATAAAAGAACTACAGCACGGTCACATGACTTCACGTCACCACCGCTAAGCTAAAGGTGGCTAATGTTGGGCTATAAAGGAACTACAGCACGGTCACATGACTTCACGTCACCACCGCTAAGCTAAAGGCGGCTAATGTTGGGCTATAAAGGAACTACAGCACGGTCACATGACTTCACGTCACCACCGCTAAGCTAAAGGCGGCTAATGTTGGGCTATAAAGGAACTACAGCACGGTCACATGACTTCACGTCACCACCGCTAAGCTAAAGGCGGCTAATGTTGGGCTATAAAGGAACTACAGCACGGTCACATGACTTCACGTCACCACCGCTAAGCTAAAGGTGGCTAATGTTTGGGGTGATGACGTTTAGTCGTTTCATTTAGACACTTGTTAGCAACCTCCATTTCAAAAAAAAATAAATAGAGGATGCTAACAAGTTAACTGACGTATTTTAAGTAGTAGAACAAAACGTTAAAATCTCTCGTGTTAACACAGACCTTATTTCAGGATAACAACCAAACACACAATCAAGAAAACATTGACTTACAGGCAACGTATCGAAAATACTAAAATGCTAACTCATTTCTGGGTTTTAGGACTCATTCCTGCACCACTCTAGGTTTAAAACACTTTGCTCAGTGCTGCTTCTTCCCCAGACCGTGAGCCGTAGCAGGCACATTTGCATGAGTGCATTTACATGGCCTGATCCGGACCACAGCACCTATTTGACTGTGTTTGCATGAGTGAAGCCAATGTTCCCTTCTCCTGTAGCGAGAAGGGACTCGTGTTATTAGTGCATGATTGCTGACAGCAAATATGTGGTTGGCAGAACTAAACAGAATTGATGTGTTGATTCTGTTTCAGGTTTCGACGGAAGTCTGCAGTTTTATCCAACAAGTCAGTAGGGGAATCACTCACTGAAGGTAAAAAGGCTTCAATGCGTCCCCGTTCTTTAAAAAAAAAAAGTTTTTAGGTTCAAAGTACATACATCCCCTCACTAAAGTCATCTTAGAACAAATGAATTGCTCTGTACTTGATGGATTAGGGTCACTGTGACCTCACAAAAACCCTTTTTTGGCGATAAATCAAGAATTCATGCACTAATTATGACATTTCGAACAGGCATGAATATTGGGTGCAACTCGACTTTCTTGAACTGATTTCTTTTTACAAACTAATAATCATTTATTGACCTTCAACATCCTCCTCTTAACTTAATAGCTATATGCTAGCACTAGCAACCACAAAGGTTAATCAGGTATAATGTTTTTCCTAACAAGTGTGTCCTCGCCAGAAGTGATGATCGTCGCTGTTGGTTAGCTACCTAGCTAGCTAGCAACATTTTTATCAGTTGTAGGAAATCATTACAAACTGCTCAATGAACCAAATAAAATTAACTCTGGCTTCTTTTTCAACACCATTGTAGTTTTTTTAAATGAGTGAAAAATACACGTTAACTTGTATTTATATTGTTCTGAGTTTACTGGGGCTGTCACTACCCGATCTGCACACCTGCCCGATCTGCACTGCGCATGTGCGAGATGGTCCGCCATATTGGACAACTCCGTACGGCAACCCAACTAGGACACTTGACACAGTGGCGTTTGGCAAAGCACACAAAAAACCGAGAGAGATGAGTTATTGTTATTAGAACGTGACTTCACTATTATTTAACAACTCTTTTTATTGGGTTCTTTTATTTGGGGTTAAGTACTGGTTAACTTCTGTTAGACAGCTATCATACTGAATAAATATTTACTCTGAATGCATGCAAAAATGTATAGCATTAATAATGTATATCTAATTACATTAACTGTGAATGTCTTTCATTTTATTTAAAATTACATAAAAGATTTTCCATAAAAAAGTTGATTCGAGAACAAATCTCTGTTATTAGATCAGTAATCACCTTTAGACATGTATTCTCTCAAATTGTTGTAAAATACAAAAGTCTTAATTCTGTCTGATGCAATGCAAATCGTGCATCCGTTTAAGTTTAAAACTCGCGCATGCGCAATGCATATTGGTCAGCCGTCTAGACGTCAAGTGTCCCATTTGGGTTGCCGTACGGAGTTGTCCAATATGCGGACCATCTAGCACATGTGCAATGCAGATCGGGCAGGGATGCAGATCGGGTAGTGACGGGGGCTATCACGGCTAATGTGTAGCTTCAGTGACGTAGCCAAGATGGCGGTCGTTGAATACCACATGTGTGTACAGAAGCACACAAACGAGACACAGCAGCATCTCCCTCCTTGGAGCCAAAGGCACCAGCCAGTTAAAAGGCAAAGTAAATGCTAGATTCAGTCTGATAGATCGATCGTTTGGTACTGTCTGTGGCTGGATTTGATGCTGTATTGCTTGTTGACTATGATCACTGTACGTTAATCTATGATCACTGTACGTTAATCTATGATCACTGTACGTTAAACTAAGATCACTGTTACTTAATGTGTGTGTGCATGTGTGTGTGTGTTTGTATGGGTGTGTTTCTGCAGTGCAGCTTCATGCAGAAGCTTGTTACGCAGAGTGTCAACTCCAAAGAGCTGCCCTCACCTTCCTACAGGTGCTAATCTGATTAATTTTTTTAACTGTTCCACACAAACTTCCACTAATATTCGTGTTTGGGTGTTTCTTTTCCAGGATGAGAACATGGTGAGTTTTATCAAAGGAGGGATGAAAGTGCGGAACAGTTACTTAATTTATAAGTAAGTAATCAGAGAACAAG